CACACATTATTACAGAAAGAGCTACACACATGCTGCCAGGGACATTTCATTCTGAGCTGTAGTTTCCTGAGTCTCATTATAATCAAATAAAGCACCGAGACGTCCTCATGTATCACACCGCTGTGTTAAAAATGCTTCATCCTGATTGGCCGGTTACACATAGCAACGGTCTGCAATCTCTTAATAGATCAGCGTTGTCACTCAGCAAAGCAGACGGTTGCTATGGACGCGGACTCTGCAGGTCTGACTGCGATCGTATCAATCCGCAGAGAAAAAGTGAAAAAGGTAACAGACGCAGCAGCCAGGATGTCCTCCTTCTAGGTTTAGATTCTGGTCCTAAGTGGTCTGGATTTGTTTGGGCCAGAGAAGGTAGGCGTCAGTGTTGTGTTACTCGAAATCAGTCGTTGTCTCGAGACCACTTTTTGAAGGTCTCGTCTCATCTTGGAATCGAAAAGCATTTCTACTCGGTCTTGTCTCGGTCTCAGACCGGGCGGACTCCAGATTCCAAATCAAGACCGGTCAGGACCACCCCTGATCGGCTGTTTTACTGAGATTAGAAGGAAAACTCCTCTTTCTAAAAGAACAAATAACTTAAATTCATTTGTAGTTTGATTTTTATCCCCCAGTTAAGTGAGGGACACGCCCCCTAAACACAATGATGATTATTCAGAGATATATATGGTCCTGGTCTTGGTCTTGACTCGGTCTCGGAGCACTCTGGTCTCAGGTATGTCTTGGTTTCGGCTAGTGTGGTCTTAACTACAACACTAGCAGGCTGTTTTAAGACCCCATCCCCCACACGGCCGTTTTGGACGCCCCTCGGTTTGCCAGATTTGAGAGCAGTTATCAGGTGTTGCAGCGTCAGATTCTGCCAACATATCAGAGCAGGTGAAGGACACGCCCACCCAGGAAGCTCACTCCCAGAGCCGTCCAATCAGAGGAGAGTGAGCACGTGGGGAGGCGGGGCCTTAAAGAGACAGTAGCTGAGATGAGGGATTTTACTGACACCAGTATCAGATACATGAGGAGGTTTTAGAGCTGCTCAGCGGGCGTCCCAGAGTGACATCACTAATGGTTAAAGTGTACGTATCGGGTGGCTGCAGTTTGGCGCTCGGTGCTAACCTTCGCAGGAAGTTGCGGTACTGCTCGTGTCGCGTCTCGGCCGTCCTCCTCATGATGTTCTGAAACACCTCGCGGTCCAGAGCCCACGTCCTCACTTTGTTCACCGCTGAAAAACAAACAAACAACAACATCATCAGGGTCATGAGAAAGAGGGGCGGGGCCAACGTTGTGACCTTTGGATGTAAAACTAGTTAACCTGCGGCCCTGATGTGTGAACACATGGAGGACACCATGTTCTCCTCGCTTATCTCTCATCTCGTGTCATCACAGCGCTCCGTCAGCACGAGGAAAAGGTTCTGATGAAGCGTGGTTATCTGCCCGTTATCTCTGCGAGAGTCAGAAAGAACGAGTTCCTCTTCATCCCCTCGATGTGTTTTTCATTTAAAGTCTCTCAGAGCGACTTGTCAAACTGTCACCCTGAATATTAAGGTCAGCACGGCGGCGCCCCCCCCCCCCTCCCCCCGAAGGACCACCCGTCAATTACCTGCTTAAATACACAAACGGGACAAAGAGCGCTCACATCCAACGTGCTGTGTGCTTTTAAAACATCATGGAAAGCCTTTGTCAACACGCTTTGTTTACTCCTCTCTGATGGCCTCTGAGATTCTGCTGCTCAGCCAATCAGGCGACTGTTCAGGTCTGAGATGAAGGTCAGACAGGTGTCAGATTACGCTCAGGTGTTAGGAGGGCGATGAAGGGTTAAGAGAGAATATCAAATTCATGGAGCTTTGATTGGATGTGAAATAAAAAAACCTTCTTTATCGAGATCCACAGTCAGGAAGGTTTGATCACAGACAGAAAATCAAAAGTAAGAAATGATAATTATTTATATCATGTGAATATATATTATTATATATATATATATATATATATATTATATCTGGGTGAATACTCGATTCTGATTGGCTGAAGGGTGTCACATGGGCGTCCATTAACTTTGATATCTGGACACGATGGAAGTAGTTCCAGTTAAACAATCTGTTCACTGTTATCAATCAAAGCGCTGCAGACAGTGTGTAAGATGAGTCATCAACAACAACAACAAAAACAACAACAACAACAACAAAAACAACATCAACAACAAAAACAACAACAACAACAAAAACAACAACAACAACAAAAACAACAACAAAAACAACATCATCAACAACAAAAACAAAACAACAACAACAACAACAACAAAACAACAACAAAAAACAAAAACAACAAAAACAACAACAACAAAACAACAACAAAAACAACATCATCAACAACAAAAACAACAACAAAAAAACAACAACAAAAACAACAACATCATCAACAACAAAAACAACAACATCATCAACAACAACAACAAAAACAACAACATCATCAACAACAAAAACAACAACAACAAAAACAACAACCAACTTTAACTGTCTGTGTGTCTGTGTGTGTGTGTGTGTGTGTGTATATGTGTGTGTGTGTGTGTGTGTGTGTGTGTATGTGTGTGTGTGTGTATGTGTGTGTGTGTGTGTGTGTATATGTGTGTGTGTGTGTATGTGTGTGTGTGTGTGTGTGTGTGTGTGTATATGTGTGTGTGTGTATATGTGTGTGTGTGTATATGTGTGTGTGTATGTGTGTGTGTGTGTGTGTGTGTGTGTGTGTATGTGTGTGTGTGTGTGTGTGTGTGTATGTGTGTGTGTGTGTGTGTGTGTGTGTGTATATGTGTGTGTGTGTATATGTGTGTGTGTGTATATGTGTGTGTGTATGTGTGTGTGTGTGTGTGTGTGTGTGTGTATATGTGTGTGTGTGTGTATATGTGTGTGTGTGTGTGTGTGTGTGTGTGTGTGTGTGTGTGTATATGTGTGTGTGTGTGTGTGTGTGTGTGTGTGTCTGTGTGTGTGTGTATATGTGTGTGTATATGTGTGCGTGTGTATATGTGTGTGTGTGTATATGTGTGTGTGTGTATATGTGTGTGTGTATGTGTGTGTGTGTGTGTGTGTGTGTGTATATGTGTGTGCGTGTGTGTGTGTGTGTGTGTGTGTGTCTGTGTGTGTGTGTGTGTGTGTGTGTGTATATGTGTGCGTGTGTGTGTGTGTGTGTGTGTGTGTGTGTGTGTGTCTGTGTGTGTGTGTGTGTGTGTGTGTGTGTGTGTGTGTGTGTGTATATGTGTGTGTGTGTGTGTGTGTGTGTGTGTGTGTGTGTGTGTGTGTGTGTGTGTGTGTGTGTGTGTGTGTGTGTGTGTGTGTGTGTGTGTGTGTGTGTGTATGTGTGTATATGTGTGTGTGTGTGTGTGTGTGTGTGTGTGTGTGTGTGTGTGTGTGTGTATGTGTGTATATGTGTGTGTGTGTGTGTGTGTGTGTGTGTGTGTGTGTGTGTGTGTGTGTGTGTGTGTGTGTGTGTGTGTGTGTGTGTGTGTGTGTGTGTGTGTGTGTGTGTATATGTGTGTGTGTGTGTGTGTGTGTGTGTGTGTGTGTGTGTGTGTGTACCTCTAACAGAGGCGGTCCTCGTGCAGTTGTACAGGATGGCTAACTCTCCAAACGTGGTCCACACTGTTATCGACGTGAGCAGTTTGTTGTGTTGAAACACGTCCAGCTTCCCGTCTGTAAATATGAAACAAGGACGATCAATACGAGTTCTCAACGAGTCGAGGCCACGGGAGTCAGGGCTGGTCTGGGGTCTGGACCCCCCTTAAATTCTAACTGGCCACCCCAGGTGCTTAAACTATGGTTGGCTAATTGCATGTTGGAGGCGGGACTTGTGCAGAAGTGGTCAACAGAGTGGTTCAGGAAGTAAAAATCCCATTAATTTTCTCCATATCTGATTTGATTATTCGCCGTGATGTCATCACAGGTAGACTGACCACGAGCTACCTGAGAGAGAAATGATGGTTTCTGTTCCTGGAGGAGACACAGCTTCATCTGATATCAACCTCCCTTTAAGAACAACACGGTTTATTAACGATGTCGGGGAAAAGAACTACACTACCCACGATCCTAGAGAGTCACAGCGATGTCTCTGATTGGTTGAGCTTGCTGTTACCATGGCAATGTCTCCTGCCCCTATGATGCAAAAGGATAGTTACGCTAGCAGGCCAGCTGGTTAGTTAGCTAACAGGAAGTGACTCTGTGAAGACTTCACTGTTTATGAAATAAGCTCACGTCTGTAACATTTCAAAATAAAAGCCTCATCATTTCTTCTTCATCAGACCTTCTACTGAAGCAACAATAAATAAAAAATGTGTTTCTGTTGCTTTAAGAGATCATGGTGAGGTGTTCAGGTGTCAAATAAAACGTGGTTATTGTTGCTTTAAATTAGGATGGACCATGTTTTTTTATGCTTGGACCATGGACCCCCCCCCCCCCCCCCCATGTGACTGGACCCCCAGAAAGCTTCCTTCATCCTTATGGGCAGCTGCGATCATACCCACCCATTTTGATTTATCTGACCAATGTGTTTGTGGATCAGCGGTCGGCAACTCGATTATTTCTGGCCTGCTCGACTATTTTCACTTTTATGTTTCTTATTATTTTCTTAACAACAACGCCGTGACCATCGTCCCCCCCGCCCCCTTCCTTCTGCTCCCTCTTCCTGCTGGAGAAACTAAATTCTTTAATGAATAATTATGAATCATCAGCTGCAGTTTGTTGGCCGCTGTTGAGATGTGAAACACATCACACCTTCTCTTTTAATTTTTCACACTTCAGTTTTTTCATCCTTTTTTCAGCCGATGATGAAATAAATCTTTCTGCTCATATTTGGACATTTCTGCATGACTGACTCTGCATCACTGCAGCGAGCGTCTGCGGGGTGATGCTTCTCCGTAACAGCAGAACAAACACTGACACATTTTGTCTTTGAATGATTCAACCAACAACAAGAAGCGGCCATTGTTCAGAGGACATGTGCTCATCAAAAAGCAGAGGGCCTGATTCATTCAGAATTGATTGTGTTCACTCATATCTGTGAAGATTGTTCATCTTTTTCTCCCTCTTCCTGCTCCGTCTCGAGGTCTAATCCTACGCTGACCATCAGGTGAAGGGCGCAGGATCAGCTGACATGATGTACATTAAGAGAAACAAGCCGCATGTTCAGGAAGGCTGCACATCCTGAAAGAATCCAACGGCTGAAAACAAAACAAACGCGCTTCAAAAGACTCAGCCGTGCTGCAAAAAGCCAAAACAACATTAACATTAAACGCACGGCGAGTACATAAAGGAAAACAAGTCAAAAACACAGAGACATTTAGAAACGCTGCAGGTTCAGTCTTCACAACAGAACTACATACTCCAGGCCTGTAGGGGGTGCTCTGACAGTTTCTTTACAGGGGTAGGGTTAGGATTTTGTGAGGTCTTCATGGCTCAGTCAGGAGAGGCGAGACGGCGAGCAGCCACAGGAGGACAGCTAACGTTAGCCGACATCGTTAGCATCAGACATGGATCATATTTGAAATTATTTTAAAATAAGTTTTTATAGATTTAGAGTTCTCCTCACACTCGACTGTCCTGATTCTGTCAGAAAAATAATCTAAGAAAAGTCCTTTAAATCTCCAGGTATGTTCTAATGTTTCAAATGTGAAGGAGCCTGGAGACAAGAGCTTTTGTCTAACCTAGTAACAGTAACCAAGAAGAAGAGGAAGAAGGTTAACGTGTGGTTGGACGTACCTGCGAGGACAAACAGGTGGTTCCCCGGCTCGCCCTGCTGGATGACGTACTCCCCCTGCTGGTAGGTGCGCTCGTACATGCACTCCACCATGTCTTTGACCTGCTGCAGCTCCAGACGTCTCAGGTACTGGTTCTTATTGAGAGCGTCTGCCAGCAGCTTCTTCACACTGACACAGAGGAAGCGGATCAGTTAGCTCGGGTTAGCGTTAGCATTTTATACGCAACGTTTATTTGTGAGACATCTCTGAAGGTTTGTTTTTTATACTTTCATCAGGTTTTAGAGAAACAAAAGAAAGAAAGAAACATGATTTAACCCTTTAAAGACAAAGGAGTCATATGTTTCTAGACCTCTGCATCCTCACTGAGCTCTTCCTGTTTGGTGCTGCTGAGACGGCTCCTATTGGTTGTTGACAACTGTCTCGTCTTTGGACAGTTTTCATGAGAAAAGACTAACGAGCTGCGATAATATAAATCATGTTTGATTCTTTGGTAACACCAAGAGGAGAAACAGACCACCTTGAAACATCTCAGGGGGCGCCGGGGGGTCTGGTGAGTGGCACGCGCCCCCGTGTTTCCCGGATCCCGCGTTTCATTCCCAACTTGCTCTCTCTCTCTCTTCCTGATTTCTGACTCTGCTGTACTGTCTCTAAAATAAACATAGAATAAAAGCCCCAAAAATAAAACTTTAAAAAACTAACAGCTGATTGAGTTTGATGACCACCTCACACTCTAAAAAAAACTCTCCTGATTTTATTCCAATTTAGAAATGTGTCTTTCTAACTTTCTGACTTTGAAGTTTCTTAAAATATCAAATGTTTCCTGTTAATATATCTCCATCTTATATCTCTTTTTAACATCTCTCCTTCCTTTGATCATTTTTAGTTCTCCTCATTCGTCCGTTTCTTTTTTTATCACTGATCAAAAAACAGGAAACAAATGCTTATTTTACACTTTAGCTCTTCTGGTGCCTCAGCTCTGGTCCTTTCAGTCCTCGTTGATGTGGTTTTAATTTGAACAGTATAGATGTCCTTTAAAATGTGAAGGATGATTCTCCCCCTCCAGTCTGATCGTCTGAGTGATTCATATTTAGTCTCCTGTGATAAGATGACTGTTCGGCCTCTGGGCTCCTTCAACCAATCACTCAAATGATTCAGTAAAAAAAAGAAAAAAAAAGAAATACTGTGTGCAGCGTTGGATCATATCGAGCCAGAAAACAAATCCAACATTAGATTATTACTGAGACTAAAACACGTCTGAAACTCGTCCCACAGTCCAGGTCATGTTATCAAACGGGTCTGACACTAATGGATCCAATAAAGACGTGTGTCTCAGATTTCAGGAAATGTCAGTGCAGCATCCTCTCATTGGCCGAGGGGGTCAAAACAAACAACAGAGAGCACCAGGTCATAAAGTCAGTTCAGCCGCACTTGGTCGCTGTTATTGCAAATCGGTAAGATGGAAATCTTTGTGTTTTAATCAGCGAGGTCAACGACTGGTCAACCAATCAGAAGACATCAAGATGCCCTGCGTCAGATTGTGAAGTATTTCATCCTTATTGAAGAAGCTAATCACCATATAATAAGATAACCAAATGAGGGGGCGTGGCCAGAGGGGTGTCATGGGCCCCCTAGAACCCTAGAATTTTTGGCAACCCGCAGTTGCCAAAATCCTTGGCTTTGATTGGCTGTTTGCCTTGCCAGAGGCGGGACTTAATTTGACATCAACTATTCAGGCTGTGCTGCAGCGGGAAGCTCATCGTTTCAGTGTGCAGATGTTTTTTTGTGTGCAGTAAATACTCGTGACTTTGGACTAACATATTTTCTTGAGTTCTTGGAGACAGGAGGGGTACATAAACGCTCAGACCACCCCTGCACAAGTCTGGGCCACCTCAGTCCAAAAAGTCTGGACACGCCCCTGAACCAAACATGTAGTAGTGACAAAGATAAATAAAAAAACATAATGATGGAGCACTGGTAGCCTGGTGGTTAGTGTGAACCCCCCATGAACAAAGGCTAAAGACCTGAAGTGACCGCCCAGGTTTAAATCCAACCTGTCTCTCTCTCTCTCTTTCTCTCTCTCTTCTGACTCTATAGGGTCCTGTCTCTACAATAAAGGCATAAAAAGCCCCTCCCAAAACAACAAAAAACCATAATGATGTTGTGTTTGCTTTCTTCATAAACTTTCATCATTGATCCAGTAAAAAGGTTTTTTATATCTCTGATGTTCAAACGTTGTTAGTAACAGCTGAATCTCAGCTCAAATCAAAGCGAGGTAACAGCCTGGTCTTTAGAGAAACATGTGAAACAACAACCTCCTCTTCACGCTGCATGTTCTGCAGCTGTCACATACCGTGTTAGGATTTCAAACTGAAGGTGAAGCCGTCGTAACACTCGCTTCATTTGTGACACGACTGCACTTTTGTTCCCATCGAGGCTTCTGTTCCATTAGTGACAGATAAAAACTTGATTTGTGTTTATTAAGTCCAAGCTAACACCGAGGTTAGAGGCTAGATGTAAAGCTACGATATGTAGGAGTTTGGTTTGGTGCGATTTGGCACCCCCTGAAGGTCTCTAAGTGCAACTGCACCTCGGTAAAAAAACCCATAGAGCCTGTTAACTCCTCCCCCTCACAGACGATGTGCATCAACGTTGTGAGAAGCCAAAGAACCACTCTGCGCTTTCAGTAGAAAACACTTCAATTTAAGAACACCACAGTGCTCCTCAATGTCACTTCTCCCTCATCGACCAATCAGAATCAAGAAGGGGCGGGACTTCTGATATCAGATTGAAAGTTTGGCTCAGTTTTTCAGCCCCAGAGATTTCTTTTTGTTTTGCTGCGTCATGTGAGTTGCAGTTTTTCTCCTGTAA